CCTCCATATTTTTAACTTCTTTACCTTTAATCTACTCAGAGCTGAAGCACCGGTTAAGTGTACAGAGTTTGTCATACAGTGCTGCCTTGCGTTAGTATAGAATAATGTACTGATGGAATAATCTCTGGCATCGTAAAACTGAAGTATTTGCAAAATTAACATACCGAGGTTCACTTTCATCAACATAAACCTTGCTCGTCGTACTTACCAGCATCTCATCAGTAGGTGTCAGACCTCTACTTTCGGTTTTTCCATCTTGAGGATTCTCTGCCCCGCCTCTAGAAAATACTGGCATTGCTAATGTAAGATGAGTTTCCAGATAATAATAACAGTGGATTGTTTATGCTCAGTCAATCAGTCGAGTTTATCTCGACAACAGTAATCTGCAATATAAGATCTTAGTACACTTTTCCGGGTTTTACATCCTTTCGTCGCCTGCACAAATTCGGAACATCTCAAATCTCGGCCCAGAGACAGGCTATCCTAATACTTCTGCTATTTTCCTACAAGTAAATGCCAGAATAATTCTTTAAACTGATCCAGACCGAAAACTTCCACGTCCATTCAACCTCATTATTCACTAGTTAACTTACCATTCCACGCTGAATAATCTTATATGTTTACAGCGTCGCTAAATGAACATCAATAAGACATGAAACCCACGTAGACAACACTGGGCTCGAAGCAGAGTCTCCACAGTGAGAATCTGTGGCTCCCTGCAACCGTGTTATATGAAGTGCCGTGTAGACAGAAAGCCGAGATCACGTGAGCTCGTGTTAAAGGCATGCCATAACGCAATTTCTACCAAACAAATGCCAACAAAAGCAGTCAGCCTGAAATATCAGAGCCTGGAGCATAGGCGTTGTAGTAGACAGAGACGGAGAATGATATTGAATACGCAGATGAAAATGTTTTTTACACTGTTTCACCAGGGGTTCAAATGGGGCAAAAAATTCAATTACATCCTTTGGTTACTATTGGTGCAGTTTTATTTAGTGAGATAACACGTCCTTTCCAGACAAACCCAGAATTGTAATTTTCAATCTCACTTCCATATAAATAAAAAAAGAAGAGAAAAGAAAGAAATCGATTAATTCAGTGTACAATCGTTCTTCGCTCTTCAGTATTCATTAAAATTTTATAACGAGGAAACATTAATTAATTTATGCATGAAGTCAATTCAGCGATCGGTGGTTATCGTCGTGATAGGAAGATAACGCGAGTTCCATTCTGGGATGACTGTGGCCTACCGTGTTTTTGCATCGTGATGTTTCCTCGATGTATGCCAACGATCGGAGGAGCATGATGCCTCCACTTTCAGAGTTCCAAAGCAACTCCTTGTCTGTGTGTTGGGACACCATTTTAAACTATTAGAACTAAACTGAAAGTAGAATAAGTGTCGGAGAGAGATATGACATTTTTCTGAATAGGAAATGTTATTTTTTATGTTTATCCTAAAGTTACATGTATTAAACATTAAATATAAAATTATTAAATTTTTGAACAGAAAATAATTTGCATGACATGGGTTTATAAACGTCATAGATCGACTAACTTTCCACTGGGGACTTTGAGTAATAAATTCGGGAATGTTTTTCGAATCCAGCTTTCTTTTAAATTATTTCTTCTGTACTGAGAAGCTGTATAAACTATTAATATGACACCATGTCTAATTCTATGTGTCTATAACTTGTAGAAAATTTTAGGATTCCTTGGTTCAGTGTATCTTATTTCTGGGAGGTGAGGTAGTGTATATATAGGCTGTATTGCCGACGTTTCGGAGAAATTTAATCTCTCCGTCTTCAATGCAAAGATTTTGAACATATGTTTTGAAGAATGGCTCAAATGTTTGTAGTAAACATAGATAATAGAAGGAAATGGCATCACCCTTTCTTTATAAACAGAACTATAAATGTGACTTCAGTTCGGCAATATTTGGAATTTTTATGCCGAAAATTCATTAACTTCAGCGTTAATCTCTTATTTAATTTCTTTCGTTCATTGTATGTGTTTCTCTGTTATAAAAATGGAGCTTAGTTACAAACTCATATTTCAATTACATTTCATTAACCTGTTCAGAAATAATATCTCTTGGCATTTGAACTGCTGTAGTGTAGTTAATTTGCGGAATAAAAATACAGCAAATCTGTATCTGTATGGTGCGTGTGTGTGGCTACTTTTTGATGATTCGAGTACTGATATTTGATTTCGCAATGAAATTCTGTCATGTTCATTAGGATCGTCATTATGTTACATACGGAAGATTTCTGTCAACCATTGACTACAAACGTATGAAATTTCGTTGGAATTGACTGTGATTCAGGCATCAGACAGCATACAAAGCGAAACATTACCTGTTCGGTTTTCTCATTCCCTCTGCTGCTTTGTTTCGTTGGAACATTCATCACACAATCATTATATAATGAGGTGTGAAAATGTGAGCTAAATTGATTATCGGGTATGAACCTTTATTTAGCAGTAATGAAATTAATAATGGTATCCATCAAAGCCTATTAGCATAATGTGAATATTTAATTTTATTTGGGATATGTCGTAATACACTCTTCAATTGGTTATATAATTTGCATCAATGTCCTAATTATAAGTAACAAAACAGCAGGTTGTTTGCTAAGCATTTTCTGTTGAGAAGTTGGAAATATTTTCCTAAGTGTTCACTAATCATAAACCATAAATTCTGTCAGCTAGCATACAAGTCTGCATTTCACTCGCCTTGTTCAAGTTAAAACTAAGATTTTTTACGTTATCGTGTCAAAGTGGGTGGCAAAGAAATTTCTTTCAGCTATAGAACATTTGTTTGTCGAATTTTTCAATAGGCTGGCACATAAAATGATCTGTGATCAAATGAGCTCGATCATTTGTAAAAAATTTGTCCTTAAGTCGAGATTCGCATTAAATAAAAGCAGGAACCAAAAGCCAAAATAATTGCGATATGTATGCATGATCTTTGAAAATAAATGTTCATTCAACGTACGTGCATGCAAGCTCAAGACATATTTACATAAGGTAAATAACAGCAGAGTTCTTAGAAGTTAACTTACGTCACCATTGAGGACACAGTTTTATCTTTTATTAGTCGATTATTTGAATTTCTAGTCTAGCACACGTGGTAGGTACTGGAGGTCAATTTCCCTTTTGCTATTCTTCCAGAATTTCCGTAGAAGTTTTGGAACATGTGGTTCTGTCACTTTCCTAGCATTTTTCTTCTCCCTGACTCTTAAAATCCACTTCACGATATCTAACGAGAAATATATAACAGTAAGCACATGATTTTGCATAAAATGCTGAAAAAGTTTTGCGTTATATGACCTGAATTACAAGTTATACATTTGGTTGCACTTCAAAAGAAAAAAAAAACCTATCGTCTTTTGAATTTTAGTTTTGACGAGTTTTAGGAAAAATTTATTCCCTCGAGTAACAGTGTTTATTAGTAATATTGAAGAGAATTATGATGTAAACGGGAAGAATTTCCATCCACGACAATTTAATTTATTCTGATGCTGCGTAGAGGACATTTGTTTATTATATATTAAGAAACTGTCTTAACATAAATGCACTTTCAGTTATTTTGAAAAATTGTTCTGTAGTTTATCCTTATTTCAGTTTTAAAAATATTCAATTTTCACATATTAATTTAACATGTGTTTGTAACAGTATTACATTATTTTAGTTTTCATTTCGACCAGGAAACACATTTTTCAGTTATTGAAGTTCCGTGCCTATGTTTAACAAATTTGCATAACATGCAAAAATGTGAACAAAAAGTTGTCAGTGGAACCACGGTTCCGGAGAATTTGACGTAAATACGTCTATACGGAAAGGAAGTTTATATATTGGCTTTATTCTAAATATTTCCTTTATATCCGCTTTACAATTAAGTAAAGTTTGATTAAGACTTTGCTTATTTAACTTGAATTAGTTATGCTTAAGATGGGTCTGTGCTAGATGAATGTAATGTAAGGTAGGGTAATGTAATGTAAGGTAATGTAATGAAATGTTTCCTAGATAACAATAATGCCGAGTAAACAGACGACGTTTCGTAGGTAACAATAATGCCGTGTAAACAGGTGACGTTTCGTAGGTAACAATAATGCCGTGTAAACAGGTGACGTTTCGTAGGTAACAATAATGCCGTGTAAACAGGTGACGTTTCGTAGGTAACAATAATGCCGTGTAAACAGGTGACGTTTCGTAGGTAACAATAATGCCGTGTAAACAGGTGACGTTTCGTAGGTAACAATAATGCCGTGTAAACAGGTGACGTTTCGTAGGTAACAATAATGCCGTGTAAACAGGTGACGTTTCGTAGGTAACAATAATGCCGAGTAAATAATTGACGTTTCCTAGGTAACAATAACAATTGAAGTTTTCTAGGTAACATAACAATGGAGTTACACTTTTTCGTTTCACTTTTTCGTTTCACTTTTTGCCGAATGACACTGACCCTAAAATATAGACGTATTTACGTCAAAAGACATTTTCCTGGAGCTATAATAAACAAATAGGATGAGCCCAGTTCTAATGATTTATTTGATTGCTGCTTTCCAACAATATCTAGTTTCGCGAAGTTAATTAACAATTTAAATAGAATAGCATTATTACGACATGTAAGAGTATAAAATACAGAATTGATTATAGAGGAAAGTGTAACTGGTTGAGAAAAATTTATAAATGCATTTCATTCAGAAGGTACATGTATGAGACCAGGGAAGTCATTCATTCATTCATCCGAAGCTTAATTGCAGTGTTGAAGAAACATTCTCTTTTCAATTGTTGCTATTGCATTGCGCTAAATACAATTTGTGTGCAAGTTATGTTCATCACGTTCCTCTTTTCCCAGGGAATCGATTAAAATACTACTATAATCTTCCAACAATGACTGTATCCGCGCCGTCTTACAGACGAATCGGACACTGCCGATTCCTTCTTCGTACATATGCTGCTATCTGTTGCCTAATTTTGAAACCACTTACTAAGAAACGCACAGTCAGTCTAAAATGTTCAACCTTCAAACTGCTTGCCCAAGTGGAAACGTGGCTCCATTCCAAACGAAAGATACAACTACCTACGCGGCATCTCTTGCTTTAAATTTAGTATCTTGACTTTCACGTAGTAGAGACGTTTGCAGCTTAACAGTGAGTCTGAAATCGTAACCTACCGTATTGTGCTTAGGAAGAAAGTTTGTTGCATTGCGAAGTTAATAACGTTAGCTCTGGTGTCATAACACAACAGGTAAGTCGAAACAAGTTCCATGAATGAGTCATTACACAGTGACGTCACTGAGTAACGAGAGTTCTGATGCGTTTTAGCCAGTAACAGCTTTCTGTCAGCGATGGCTACGTATCTTACGCTTAACTAGCACAGCTGTGTTATGTAGAGCATGTGGCTGAATTTGTTCCAAACTTTAAATTATTTTCTGTATTTCAAATTTGATTTTAAATAGCACTGGGCAGCAATACAGCAGCATAACTCTCTTTATAGTAGTGGCAAGGCTTGCTGTTTTACCTTAAATTAAGTATCCGTAATCATATCGAGTGTTTTAGTGTCACCAGTAAATAACCTTTGTTTACTTGTGAACTAACTGCCAGAAAGCAAATAATTTGTAGCTTCGCGTGTGAAAGTAGTGAGATCTGTTCTCTTCCTTACACTTTGTTGGTAGTCACAGTGACGAGATGCGTGACTTCTATAACAAATGAGTGAAGCCATTTAAGACAATGGCGTGCTTTAATTTGTTCAGGGGCGAATGACAAAGAAGAGACAGCCTCAGTCAGACGGAGACATGTCCGCCAGTCCTAATGACTCCTCAGAAGAGTCAGCGGTCGTTTTCCCACCAACTTACATTATTGTTCAATTCTCAAAGCGTATACGAGCAACAGCTTTGGTGTGGCTCGTGAATAAAGTATGTAGCAAGAGACTTGATGGTGGAGCTGAACTTCTAGTAAGAAGACAGCCACATCGCGACGGAGAGGTACGCAGAATTTGGTTTGGTAGGTTTAGTAGACTGCAGTGGTATGTTTTATTATATGTTGTAATTCCTTTAAAAAAAGGTCTTACACCGGCAAAGAGGAAGGTGATTTATGACGAAATAAGATGTGCCAAACAGTGGCTTTGAGACGTGGTGTTTTGCCTTGTAGAGAAGGGCATATATACAGGTTGATTCAAAAAGGACTTTACAACTTTGAAAGTGTATAGAAATTTATTCAGAAGGCTTACAGAATCGGTTGAGGTGTCATTTTGTAGCAAAACAAATCAAGGTTTACCTCAAATAGACATTTTGGTTCGATGTGGTTGCCATTGGTGATACTGCAGACATCCCACCTGAAATCAATTTCTTGCCAAACACGATCCAGCATATCAGGTGTCACTTCTGCAACTGCGGTGGTGATTCGAACGTTGAGCTCAGTGATATTGGCAGGTAAGGCTGGAACAAACACACGATATTTAATGAAACCCCATAAGAAAAACATCGAGAGGTGTCATATCTGGAGAACGAGGTGGCCATGCTATCGACCCTGTTCGACCAATCCACCGACCTGAGAAACGGTTATTGGGGAAATCCCGGACTTCTGTGAGGCAGTGAGGTGGTGCGCCGTCTTGCTGGAAGTGAATGCGTCCTTTTTGGTCATCTTCGTCTAATTGTGGTATGAGGAAATTTTAGAGCCATTTTCAAATACACTGCCGCTTGCGCTCGCGGTGACGGAATTCGGTACTACAGCACAACGTGAGTTAAACTTGATTTGTTTTTCTGCAAAATGACACCACAACCGATTCTGTAAGCCTTCTGAATAAATTTCTATACACTTTCAAAATTGAATCACCTGGTATTAAGTGTTTAATAAGAACTCTGTTTTCAAGAAATTACGTGAACCAAAAAGGAACTAAACGAAGTCTAGTTTAGGCCTTTCACTTAACGAAGAACACATCACCTACTATTGTGAGGTTATGATGCGCTGGAGAGAAATACACACACAGGTTTCTAGTTGGGAAATCTACTGAGAAACGTCCAGTTGTAGGACCAAAAAGGAAATTAGAGTAAAAGACTAAGGTGGAAATAAGATGTGAGGATGACATGTTATGAAACTGGTTTAGGATCGTGAAACGTAACGAGTTGTCGTGTTACCGGCTTTGAAACTGAAACTTCAGTTTCTGCTGTCAAAGTGTTAGTTGTTGCTGTTGTTTACAGGGCGTGACCCTTCACGTTTCTGCTTCTAAAATCAAGTTCTTGGAGGTGGCAGAGGAATTAGAGCTGAAGAAACGTGACAGATGCGGTCTGATCAGAGAGTTTACAGTCAGTCAACTAGACGACTTCCTTGAGGATGGAATGCACGTGGATGACTTGCTCACCACGGCAGAGAGGCAGTACATCGTGAGACATGAACTGGAGAACATTCGAACCCTCAAAGAAGACGATCAGGTGCCAGGGTACCCAGCTTTCCGTCTGTACGAGGGACAGTCCATAGGTATACATCGGTCTTAAAATTGCAAATTTGTACGGAAACCAACAGGGATTTCTGATGGGTTCTGCATGTTTCGTCACTGTCGAACAAAGATTTCGTCTTCTGGGTTGTTGAGCCATGTAGTCTGGTAGAAGTTTGCCGACGTTTCAGAGGTTCTTGCTGCTTCCATCATCAGGGCGACTTAGTCTTCTCTCCATGGGCTTCTTGGGTTCTAATCCCGGAGATAACGCAGCCGGGGCGTGATACTGACCACACATCTGGGCCTATAATTATTTACAAAGTTACGAATGTGTGGAACTGAACCTCTTTTTCCCTCCATGCGTCATCAACGTGTCTTTTTCATTTCAGTTCAGATGTGTCTTCATTGGAAACTTGTGAAACGAATGTATCCCTTACACGATATGGAAGCACTGGATAAACTAGGGAAGAAATGGTACTGGGCATTGTTTCAGAAACAACCATTCGGTGAGTTATCCTCGTGCTTTAGTGGTCCTGAGTTTGTCTCTGTACTAAATGAGAAACTTTTATTTATAGCGTCACTGCTCTCGTATCTTTTATCGTAAGAAACATTAATACCTGTTGCAAGATGCAATATTGCGTCTGAATTAACATTCGGGGAAGAGGTATGAAAAATGTACTGATAAGAACGAAACTGGTTTACATATTATCACAAATTACGTCCATCTGTTCATCAAATGTTCATTTTTTTTTCACGAAAGTTCTTTACAATGAAACTGTTCGTATTTTCTCAGTTATACGAGGAGGGGGCCTTATAAACCTTCCACCGCTCCGTTAAGTCCACTTTATAAGTTTACTAACTTATTTTAAAGGTAAGTAAATTTAGCGCTGAACCTAAATCTTTACCTTTTTTTCCAAGAAGCAAGCGGGCTGGTGTATCGGTAAGAATAGTCATCTGTTTAGGAGGTGAACGATTCGAATCTCGACCTTGTTCTCGTCTATCGTAGCTGAGGATTCTATCAGAATCCGTCGCTCTCTAAAGGCGAATGAAAGGAGACTGTCTTCAAATGTTCCATGACTGACCTTTTCCTAATTCTTAACAGAAGTAGGATTATGTTCTAGCGTCTTCGGTAATTACGGAAAGATTTATTAACAAGTGGCTGGAGGAAATTACAGTCTTCGGAACTGCGGTTCGACTAATATTGTTACTGTCAGTCCGTCAATAATCATATGCAGAACGATAGTTGTGCATTGCCTCATTAAAATGAGAAATAAATTAAAAAGTTTCGTCTGCAACTTCTGGGCAATATACCGTTTTGGAGACGCAAGCATTGATAAGGGGATAAAGTTGAAATCGATCTTAGACAAACTAATTCTCAAGGTTACCAGGCTATTGTCTTGAGAAGTGGTTAATTTATAGGTCAATAAAGGAGGAAGTTCCTCGGCTAACTAAAGTGTCAAGTGCTCAAGGGATTTCCTGTGCGATGAGGTTATTCTTCGACGTTTGACATTTGTACTGTAATCAGCCTCATTCCGCAGGAAGTTTGACCTTTCAGAAGTTGATAAGGTTAGCAGAATTCCATCGTGACTATTATAATAACGTTTTATTCCAATTAAAACCGCAGATAAGAATTCCGATTAGAATACAGCAAAATTAATACACGTGGTGGTTTTAATTTGTACTGAGAACTGATAGATGAATGCAGAAAGGGAAACGATAGTTGCGGAGTGTCTGTCGTGTTACCAGCAAAAATGAATCAGACACTGAACTGCCTCATCGTTATATTCGTTTCTGTGCACTAAGAATTAGGAATGGGTACCAGTCAGATAAATGTCAGTAGTGTTCATTGACACTTATAACAAAAATTAATTTATTGATATTTTGCAATTATATGCCTTTAATCTGGAGCTAAGTTACTAAAAATATAAAGGTTAAGTTGCGTTTGGAACTTGACTAAGTACCGTGTAATTCAGACGTGCGGTGTTGTGAAGGTATAGCTCCATGAATTGTTAAACTTCAATATTACGTACGACGTAGCAGCTGAACATTAAGCTTTGTCTTCTGCGCATGCGTAAATATTTGTCTACCTGCGCGCGTCCCCGAGCTCACTTAACCTAACTTGACCTAACCTATGTAAGAAAACCTAACCTGACTTAACGTTCTATGCGAATTTATAAATTGGCATGGCTTTCATGTCAATTTATTGGTCTTACAAATCGATTTATTTCCCTATGTCTATCAGCCCGTAACAGCCCCAGGACCGTTGAACGAATTTTTTATAACATTTCGTGTACGGAAGTTTATTAACTTTATTGACGCATTCAGATTTTTGTTCAAATCGTACGACAAAAATTCCACCTCACATGAAAACCAACGTGAGCTTCTGGGGGCGGAGTGTACTGGGTGGGGAATCTACAGCTTAAATACGTGGGGAATCCTCGTGATGACATAACCATTCACCCAGACAGGCGCGAAGGTCAGTGACGACGGATGACAGTGGCGTGAGGTTAAAGATAAAGTCCTTTCGAAAATCATCTGAACTGATAGGCAATGCGTAGACTTTCCGTTATATCAGTAGTTCCTTCAGGCCTGGTTTGTTCAAAATAAGATTTGAGAGATATGTAGGCCTATGTAATGTAATGGCGCGTATGAACTCAGTTTATTTACTAATGTATATGTTTATACAAAATTTAAGTACGGAATGTGCAAGTATTTTTCGTGACGTATTTCTCCCTTTGGCATGTGCAGAGGATATCCGGTTATATTTTGGAGAAGCTGTGGCGTTATACTTCACGTTCCTTGGCTTCTACACCACAGCCTTGTTAGTCCCGATGTTCCTCGGATTTCTACAACTATTCCTGCCTACTGAGAGCATTGCTTTCTTTTGCGTCTTTAACGTACTTTGGATGACAGTATTTTTAGAAGTAAGTACACACATTTCAGAAGTGTTATTTTTTTCGTGAATAAAATTGAACGTAATATGTATTATCAGTAATTGGGCTTGTTTATCAGCGTTTAAATAGTCATCTGTACAGGTAACTCCAGGGAGGTACCGGGTGTTGTGTAAACATAGCAACGAAATAAAACATTGAAATTTCTCTGTTGTCGTTGTTCATTATCTTGATAGGTATGGAAGAGAAAATGCAGTGAGCTAGCATTTACATGGGGCACCATTGGTATGACGAGTCTAGATGAACCTCGTGCTAACTACCGGGGCGTAATGGGCATTGACGAGGTGACGGGTCGTTACCAGCCTCAGTTCCCTCGTTGGAAAACGAACGCCAGGGTTAGTAGATCTAAAATATTTGAACTTTGACAGGTGTTCAAAGCAATATTGTGATTTTGTCCTGGATTCTTATAAAGAGTAATGCACAAGCAGTTTTCGTGTCTTGCCTTTCACACAGCCACTGAATCAACCCCGATCCAACGATTCTACGGATTTGGCTTAACTGATCGTTAACTGTGATTTAAGTAGATATTTTATTTTCTTGCCTGTTTATCAAACAACTTTCTTGGAAGTCGTAAGGATCGCTGGAAGAAAATAAGCGACTTCTATTTCGAAACAATAGGACCATAGCTCTTGCCAAGATACTCAAAGATTTTTTTTTCTACGGGACTTCTATTTCGAAACAATAGGACCATGGCTCTTGCCAAGATACTCAGAGATTTTTTTTTCTACGAAACAAGAATACTATTTAGTAATTATTTAATTTGGTGCTGACGAAGATAAAGCAGGATAACGTAAAGCTTAGCATTGGTTAATATGTTCCAGAATGTATTTAAAGCAGTTTAAAAATAAATTTCCTTCGTGTTAAAATGTCTTGTTTCTTCTTGGCGCTAGAATCTTGGCACTCTGTAGTCATAAACGTTTTCTCGGAAGCAGGAGTCTATCTGTTGAGGATGGGCACCGTGGCATGGCATTTAGGAGCACAAAAGGTTATAAAGACAGATAAACAGAACGGTTTTCCGCTCTCGATATCGGCGTGTGCGTGGCTACGTACCTTATTTAAAAAATAAATTTAATCGCAAAGACGTTTGTGTTGGTGAACACGCCAGCAAAGAAACTGAATTTAACTTAAATGAATCGTTATTGTTGTTGGTTTATTTAATGAAATTTTCTTAGCTTCGTACTTAATTTATAGTTTCTAATGGGCGGATTATTTTTTATTTTTAAACGAGAAAGCAATCTTTGCCTATTTCTAGAATTTGCTAGGAGGAACTTACGAAAACCAAATCGATATAGAGATATAGCGACAACATACGAAATGCGACTTGGAAGACGGAGGTGGCTTCAGCGTAATCCGTGGAAGGTAGAACAATAACAAGGACAAAAACAACGGAGAGATCTCTCTGAACTTGTTACACAATAAGAATAAAGATACAGTTATGATTTATCGTATTAAAATGTTTATATAGGTTATTTATTTTTCAGTTATACTGCGTCTCATTGCCCATTGTATTTGTGTGTATGGTCGGGGCATTCTTTGTTATGCTCGCCTCTTTCTGGGCAGAAGAACTTCTTTTAAACATGAAGAAACAGCAAAGTTTGGAAGCTGGCGAGATTGTGGTTCTGTTGCCAAGTATAATTTATTCAGCTGTTGTGTTTATAATGAATTCTTGTTACCGAAAGGTAGCAACATGGCTTACGGAATGGGGTAAGTACTTGTTACTTTAACAGCTGTTATGTTACTTTTTGCTTAGGCTGTATTAAAACAATTACAGTGAAACCCGTTTTAATGTGTGTAATATAATTCTTTTAATTTTAGTAACCGCGTGCTTGCGCAGTTAACCTGTCGCAATCACGATCATTGACATACGCATTGTAGCCGAATTCTGTTGCCGTGATGGTCTTGAACTTTGTTAAAGATGAAAATGGATGTTTTCTGGGTTACTGGTAGAACGTGGGTAAACTACCAGAATAAGCGGCCCAGGAACCCAGACGACAACCAACCATCTTCTTACTGAGTCGCCTTACTTCGTGACGTATGCTGTACGCGTCGCGTGGAAAAGAGAATTTGAAGATTCGGATTGTCAAAAACACAGAACAAATGGACGAAGGCGTGATTAAGAGCATATAAACAGAAACAGATATCTCTGCTTTGCGAAAGGAGTACAAATGAACATTAGTAAGAAATTTCAGGATGCCAGAAGTATTATCTGCTTAAAGGTACCTCTGCGAAATGATAAAGAGAAACTAGTCTAAATGTAACGAGCCATTTTCATCTTCGATACGGAATAAAACGTCGAAATTATAGAGACAGCCGCCTAAACGTCGTAGGACTTATTCCATATATCAGACATGCCACTCGAGAAGGATTCGTTGCATGAAATGTGTTACCAGGATTTACGTTTTATTACGTATTTGACTTGTTATGATCCAGAGAACCACCGGACTCAGTCGCAGTTCGACAGACATCGCGTGACCAAGCTCGTTCTGTTTGAGTTCGTCAACAATTTCATGTCTCTGTTCTACATAGCATTTTATGTCCAGGACATGGATATGCTGAAAAATGTAAGTGTTAATTGAAACGCAATAGTAGAATTAGTAGAATTAAAATGATCTAACGAGATGTTTACACCTGCATTAAAATTTGTTTGTCAGTTTCCTGTCACGTGCTTCCACCATCAGGGTATATCTACGCTGATGATGGAGTCAGAGACAGCCTCCAGAACATTGAATTTTAATTTCCACACGGCTGTTCGCCCGAGAAGACTTTTCTGATACATTTATTTTTATATATTTGCATAATTTAAAGTAACTTATGTGATAAGTTTCGTTTTAAAATTACATGTAATCTCGATGAAAAAAAAATGTAATTTATAAACAAAATTTGGTATCCCAATATCAAATTCCATGGAAAGGCTGTCGCTTCTCCTGCCCGATTTAAATCCCACGTGCTGTTAGAAGCGCCTCTGCCGTGATATATAGGCATATTTGTAAATTACTAGCGGGATATTAATTTCTTAGAACATATATCTTGATATTCAGATTTATAACAGACTTTGTTCCATCATTATATCGAGAAGAAATGTTTTGACGTGTTGTGAGTAGATTCGTAATAAATGCTAAAGTATCTTATCGTTTCCTCTTTCAGCAATTGGCTGTCATGTTACTTATTTTCCAAGCCATAAACAACTTTCAAGAAGCTATTCTGCCTCTTCTAATAAAGTATTACAACAAAAGAGTAAGTAATCATTTTGCCTTCGCTGTGTTAAATATGGTAGGCCTATAGGGTGCTAGGACACGACATTAGAAATTATTTATCAGAATATGTTTATTTGAAAAAAAATTATTTCCGTGACAAAACTTTATGGATATAATTGAAATATACCCCCTAATATTTATTTACCATTTTCAGTCCAATAGCTGGTCAACTCTCGAAACAGAATACGTACTCTTTGTTAATTTTATAGTTACCAAGCTCGTAATGAAATTCCAAGCATTTTATATCAGTGTATTCACAAAGACCCATCTTTTAGCTGCAAGTACACCTAAAGAAGGAGACGTCGATCTATGGGCTGGTTTTGTGCGTTCTTCCAGTACCATCCATTTGTAAAGGTGATCAGTGCTCAAGATCGTGTCTCGAATTTCGTGATTTATACTCGGTTTGTTGCTGTGTTATTGACACTTTATTTTCCTAGGTTACGAAGGCACTTAAATTTGATGCAATACTTGGAAACAAAAAGACTGACGAATCTGGTCGTAAAAAGAAGAGTCTTTCCGTGAACCACGAACCAAGTAGAGCAATTCTAGATTACATTCCAGAGCTAGACAGTGATGATCCACGTATAGAACTCGCGATCTGCGAAGGAGAAATGGAGGACTATGAGGTAACGGATAAAATTAACGATCTGGATTTGCGTTTAAGAAATGTAATTTTACTTTAACTTTGAAGGAAATATACAATTTTTTCCTTTTAAAATTCTAAGATACCTTGGCAATTGAATACAGTTAAATCTTCCCACAACCTTCGGATAACGTAGTCACTTAGCTAAGAATGGTTCTGCTCCGTTAAATTGGTTAGTTATTGAATTTAATGTATAAATAAGCATAAATCTTCGCTGGCAATCATAATTATTGGCCATCTCCTTTAAATTTTAAGTATAAACAGAAATTAAAAATTTAAAAATATAAGAACGTAAACCCTTCAATAAAATCCGTGGCTTCAGAAGTCAAGTTAACTTGTGCTCTGAAAAATTGATACAGAAATGTATAACTTTTTTAGGAAATCAAACTGACGCTCTCGTATCAGCAACTGCACTAGTCTTCTTTCTGTATTCTAGGCAGTGTGCTGATTTAATAATGACATTTATAATGATGGAATACATTTCTTACGTCCAGGGAACATACGATGACTATTTGGAAATGTTCATACAATTTGGATACGTGTTCTTATTCTCGTCTGTGTACCCAATGGCGGCTTTCTGGGCGGTAGCAAACAACATTATGGAAATCAGGGCGGATGCCTTCAAACTTTGTCGTCTGTACCGAAGACCAGTGGCGAAAAGAGTGAAGGACACTGGAGCCTGGCAGGTAATTAAATTATTATTCTTGTAATATCAACAAAATATGAATTTGGTTCAACGAGTTTAGCTAATTAGGCACTAGGTTTATTTCTTTGTAAAAAAAATGGCTAAAATACACTACTTTATGATAAATATTTTAAGACGAACATAAAATACGTTCTAAAAATTTCTAAATCTTCTTTTGTGTGTTTATATTTATATACTCATTTTCGTAACAACACGCATCGAGGAAAAGAAATTTAAGGAATGACCAACTGTCTTTATAAAATGATTGAATAAGTTGTACTAAGAAGATTATCCAGATCCTCAATTATTCATATCTTACGCAAAATGAACACAAAATGTGAAGTCGTGTGCGTCCTCATATCATATTTCCTTTCCGAAGTGTCTCGATGGGTATCGATATTTTGTATGGTGAGCCATCTCAGAAAATGTATTTTGGTTCGTGTCTGTCAAATATAGAGCTCGCCTATGGGTTTTACGTTTTGTATTAAATGATTTAACAGTAGAATTTTGCTTTATGTGTTTATATAGATTACGCGCAGAAAATATTTTTTATTTTCCATCAACAAGTCCACATTTTCTTTGGCCTACCTATGTCTGAAGGAACAGCTAACGTAGTTTTTGACAAAGGACGACGATCGAGAAGCAAAGATTGTATATTCTTATGTTTGCCTGGGTTTATACTACGTGATACATTAGATGTGATTACTATATTTAGGGATCCAGAGATGGCCAGAAAATTATGGGAAAGGAAAAACTTTCTTCCCGATCGAGAGCAGAATTTTTATCTTAAAGCCCAACTCATGCACTTTGCTGCATGAACAGACTTTGCTAATCTCATTTTATTGCGTGAGAATAAAAATGTAACAAACTTATATATGTTTCTTTACACTTTGAAGCTGCAGTTCGTAGAAATAATATTCAATAATTCAGTTCTTACCTCAAAGAAAACACACTTATCGCGGTTTATATTGAGAATCATACGAAACCTATGAATACCTAATGCAGCAGGTGATGCATACGGTTACTAATAGGCTTTGAAGGTTTAGACATTCTCTGAACTGTGCATTTCTACACGTCCTGGTGCATGTGACAGTATTTCTGACGGTTACAGCGTGCGTTCGAAATCGTGGGCGCGATGTCCATAATGACGAACTGTAGTCTTCTCTGCATGTCACCACAATTGCGACGTCTCGCACCTACTATGACGTCAGTGGAATGGGTCCTCGTGTTCGTCGTTCTGGAACACATGTTGCTTGGAATCAGGCATTTCCTTCACCTCGTGATCCCCGACAGACCGGAGTGGGTGCGAGTAGCTCTAGCGAGGATCAACCACTTGTCCAAACGAGCCCTTAAGAACGAGGTGATGGATTGGTGATTTGTGTTGTGATGTACCTTGTTTGACGGTGCACGAGACAATTGAATGACCAGACCGATTCTACAGCATGGTGTGTGTTTATTGTCCCGAAACTTAATAAACGTTATCTTCTGGTTTCCGTTTGCTTTGTCATCACAGCCCTCTAACAATACGCATTTCGTAAACTTTGTATTTTTGTGCTCTTAACAAAAACGCAGAAAGATCTTTCAAGAATGCAACAATTAGAACTGAACAAAGTTAACAGAAATTTGTTCTTCCTACGTGTCTCTGCCTTATCATAACGGACTAACATATTGTTTGTAGCACAAGCCTCTGAAGAAGCTGATGGTCCGCCTATCTGGTAAGTACAATTTCCGGTTTTCATAAAAAAGTGTATACTCATGTTTATTCTTACAGTGTTCACATGAGCCAGTCATTGGAGCAGATGAATCCAGCTAATAATACGCTCCGCTAGTTAAAAAAATTCGTCTTTTATAGAACCCGAAA